AAAAAAATTAAATTATTTACAAGAAATAAAATTAAATTTCTAAAAAAAAATCAATTATTTTTTAAGTATTTATAAACTAAAATTTTTAAGATTCTTCAAGTACCTAGTTGAACTAAATTTCTAAAAAATTAAATTTTTTCTAAGTCTTTAAACTAAAATGTTTCACAATTTTCAAGTAATTGAAATAAATTTCCCAAATATTCAATTACTTTCAATTAGGTTAAATTTTTTCAAGAATTTTCAAATATTGAAATTGAATTTCTCAAAAATTCTATACTATTTTTATCAAATTAAACAAAAAGGAAATTTTCAAGAAGTAAATCTAAATTTCTGAAAAATTCAATTATTTTTTACTAATAACTAAACTAAAATTTTGAAAAAAAAATATTATTTTCAAGAAATTTGAGTGAATTTATAAAATATTAAATTATTTTCATGAAATTTCGTTAAAAATTTTCAAGAATTTTCAAGTAATTGAATTAAATTTCTAAAAAAAATTCAATTATTTTTTAAGTATTTAAACTAAAATTTTTAAGATTTTTCATGTACTTTGAACTAAATTTCTAAAAAATTAAATTATTTCTTAGTCTTTAAACTAAAATGTTTCACAATTTTCAAGTAATTGAAATAAACCCAAATATTCAATTACTTTCAATTAAGATAAATTTTTTCAAGAATTTTCAAATATTCAAATTGAATTTCTCAAATTCTATACTATTTTTATCAAATTAAACAAAAAGGAAATTTTCAAGAAGTAAATCTAAATTTCTGAAAAATTCAATTATTTTTCACTAAAAATTAAACTAAAATTTTGAAAAAAAATATTATTTTCAAGAAATTTGAGTGAATTTCTAAAATATTAAATTATTTTCATGAAATTTCGTTAAAAATTTTCAAGTAATTGAATTAAATTTCTAAAAAATTCAATTATATTTAAGAAATAGAATTAAATTTCTAAGAAATGCAATTATTTTCAAGTAATTGACATAAACTATTAATAAATTTAATAATTTTTAAGAAATTGAACCCTAAATTACTGGAAAATTAATTTATTTTTAAGTACTTAAATTAAAGTTTTAAAAAATTTTCAAGTAATTGATCTAAATTTCTAAAATATTCAATTACTTTCAAGTAATTTAGCTAAAATGTTTGAAGAATTTCTGAAGAAATTTAATTATTCTTAAGAAATAAAACTTAAGAATTTTCAAGTAATTGAACTAAAATTAAGGAAAAAATTTATTAGTTTCAAGTAATTTAATTGAATTTATTAAGAATTCAATTATTTTCTAATAATAATTGAATGTTTCTTAAAACTCAATCCCCATCAAGAATCGTTATCAACAAATTTTCAAATAATTGAATTCTATCGACGAATTTTAATAAAATTTTTAAGAATAATTACATTTTTCGTGAAATTCGATTCAAATTGAATTAAAAATAATTGAAATTCTACAATGAGTTTTATTATTTACTTTTACAAAATTGAATTTTTTTTCGTGTTTTTAACTATAAACATCTATAAATCCATTATTTTTAATAATTTTCAAAAAAGTTCTTTAAGAATTTTCAAATTCATTAGTTTAAAATTCAATTTTACAAAATTTCAATTATTCGTAAATTCTTCAATTTAAATATTAGAAAATAAAAACTTTAAATAATATCCAAAAAATCCGCAATTAAAGTTTCTTAAAAAAATTAATTTCACAGAATTGTTAGTTTAAAGCTTTAAAGTATAAAAAATTCAAATTTTCAAAGATTTTAATTAGAAACCTTTTCAAAAATCAATAAAATAAAAAAATACCGTTAAACTTTAGAGGGCCAGGGAATTCGCGACCAATTTTAGTATATTTAAAAAAAAATTTATAAATAAGAAGTCAATTCGACAAAAAGATTCGTTAAAATAAATGGTGGGCACAAAAGTGCCCAGCCCGGCCCTCTAAAGTTTAAAAGTAAAAAATAGTTTTATTTTCTTTTTTTCGAAAAAAAAAAATTATTAACTTCCTCCGATGTACGATTAGCAATATATCTCATCTCTTTCAGTGCAGTAATAGCAATTCCGGCCCCACGCCAGTTCAGTCTTGCCGAAACCGATGTCGGCAACGCGTCAATTTTAAATTCGGTAGTCACCGCCAAATCCCAACTAACAACAACTATCGATCTCGTTCAATCACAGTCCAATAATTTTAATTATCTCAAGTACATTAACCCAACGCTCCGCCCTCCTCCCTCACTCTCTTTCTCAAAGTCGTCACTTCTCAATGACAAACCCGTCTAATAAAAATTCCGTCCTCACCTCAATTCTCTCAACGACTCTTTATCGATAAGAGGAAAAAAAGACTCCTAGCATTCAAGGATCTTTAGTCTCGAAACTAAAAAAGACTTTAAAACCAGAATTTCCCAATATTTTCCATCTTTTTTTGCTGTTCCCTTTCTTCCTTTTCTTTTGTTTTTGTTCCTCTCTGTCTTTTTTTCCTTTTCTTTAGTTTTTTTCCGTTTTTTTTTCGATTTTTCCCCGTTTTTTTCCGAGTGTATAAAATGTATCTGATTTTGAGAAAAACAAAATTTTCTGCACGAGGAAAAACATTAGAAAAATGGAAACGTTTCTTTGATATGATGCCAAGTCGACTGAGCTTCTTTACGTAAGCTCTTGTAATATAATGTTCGCTTTTGTTCGGATGAGTGTAAGAACCATGCGTTTATATTCGGATCCAGAAAATATTTCATTCGCGAAAAATAGGATGACCTTCATGACACGATAAACATTTTGGAGTGAAAGTAGGTTGAAACTACAGTGCCATATACTCTAGTGTTTCGAATTTTCCAAAAAATTTAAATTCTACTTTAAATTATAAAATATAATCTCCCTCCTCTGATAATAACCGCAAGAAAATTTTTAATTCTCGTAAATCAGCAAAAATAAATAAAATAAATAATTAAAGGAAATACGAAAGGAAAACAAAACAAGAAATTAAAGAAGAAAAGGAAAAAAGGAAAACAAGAAAGAAAAGGAAAAAAATAAAGAAAAATACAAGAAGGAAAACAAGAAAGAAAAGGATAAAATAAAGAAAATACGACAGGATAATAAAAAGAAAAACAAGAAAGGAAAAAATAAAGAAAATACAAAAGGATAAGAAGAAGGAGAACAAAAAAGAAAAGGAAAAAATACAGAAAATACAAAAAGAAAACAAAATAGGAAACAAACGAAAAAAAATACGGAAGGAAAACGAAACAGAAAACAAAAGGAAAAAATAAAGAAAATAGAAAGAATAAATAAGAATAAATAAAAATAAATAAAAACTTTACAAAAAAATAAATTCCCAATCAAATTAATAGCAATAATTAATAACTAATCGAATCGTCATTTTTAAGAGACAAATTTTTTTTCACTCACCACTGCCAATTTCTCAGGTTTAATTCGCTCCAATCGAGTATAAAAGTACATAAAATAAATGAAGACACAACTTTCGTCCATTTATTAAATATATTTTTAATATAAAAAATGACGCAGATAACAAAATGGATTTTGAACATCCAAGAGGGACTTGAAAAAATAAAAGCCCTACATCACTTGATGAGAATGTAAAGAAACCAAAAGAAAAGTAACAAATAAAGAGAAACAGGATCCAGTAGAATAACAACAAGAAGTTTAAAAAAGAAAAAAGAAACGTCGAAAGAAGCGAAAAAAGGAGCCAAAAAAAGAAAGAGAAAAATTTTAAAGAAGAAAAGAAATTCCTTACACGTGAAGAAGAAAAAAAAAGGTAGTTATCGATTTAAAAAATTGTCCGCCAAAATTTCTCAGTAATACTCTCAAATATCTATTTTTAGAATACCAACCAACAAGATTTTATAATCGACTCATTTTTTTTTTTCAAATATCAACGAGGCAGTGATTTTTGGAAATACTTCAAAACCACCACAATGGAAATGTAATTATTGTAATAAATATGCTTAATAAATAAATAAATAAATAAATAAATAAATAAGTAAATAAAGAAATAAATATTACAGAAATAAATAATAAATAAATAACAATCTCAAATGATTGTTATTAAAATTGTAATAATATTTTTTTAAATTTGAAACAGTGAAATAAGTGAATATTGTTTCATTAGCATTAATAAATACTATTCATTAAATAATTAATTGTAATTATTAATTATCGAACGCAATAATTGAACAAAAAAATTTTTATTGAATACCGAATATTAAGAAATTGAAATTGAAGAGGCAAAATTAAAAATTAAGAAATTGTAATTGAAAAATCTAAATTCAAAACTAAATTAAGAAACTAAACTGAAAAATTGAAATTCAATTCTGAAAATTAAGTAACAGAATTGAAAAATCAAAATTCAATTCTGTAAATTATGTAACAGAATTGAAAAATCGAAATGCAGAATTGAAAAACTGAAATAAAGAACCAGAATTGAAAAATCGCAATTAAAACTGAAAATAAAGAACCAGAATTGAAAAATTGAAATTAAAACTGAAAAATTGAATTTCAAAATTAAAAATTAAAAAATTTAAATCTGAAAATTAAGTAACACAATTGAAATATCACAATTAAAACTAAAAAATTGAAATTCAAAACTGAAAATTAAGAACCAGAATTGAAAAGTCCAAATTAGAACTGAAAAATTGAATTTCAAAATTAAAAATTAAGAAATTATAATTAAAATTGAAATTCAATTCTGAAAATTAAGAAACAGAATTGAAAAATCAAAATTCAAGACTGAAAATTAAGGAACTTAATTGAAAACTCAGAATTCAGAACTGAAAAACTGAAATAAAGAACGAGAATTGAAAAATCGAAATTAAAACTGAAAAATTGAAATTCAAAACTAAAAATAAAGTACCAAAATTGAAAAATTTAATTTCAAAACTGAAAATTAAGAAATTATAATTAAAATTGAAAATCAATTCTGAAAATTAAGGAACAGAATTGAAAAATCGAAATTAAACCATAAAATTAAGAAACTTAATCGAAAAATCGAAAAATCAAAACTGAAAAATAAGAAATTAAAATTAAAAGTCAAATCAAAAGAAAAAATTACAAATTAAAAAATCAAAATAAAAAAGAAAATAATCAAAAAACCATGAAGAATGCCCATATTCTCTCAACCTCCACCGATGCAGAATCACCAAAAGATCCCAACGACGGTGTAATAAGACTAAAAATTGACAAACCCTCACACTGGGACTGGCAACTGACAACATCATCCGACACAATACCAAAAATTCAATTACTCGACAAAGATGGTCGTCTACTCGTCGAAACAACAACAGGAATTGCCCAAAGAGCAAAAGGTTCATTTCGCGACGGTCTAAAAACATACGAAGAATTCTCCCCCACACCAACATCATCATCATCAAAAACATCAATTATTATTCCCGGCAATAGAAATTTCGAAGGTTACAGTACAAAATTCGACACGACCCATTTCTCAAAACCCCGAAAATCACGAAGTGACATTGATCTGAGGAATGGTGGAGGTGGTAGAAGAGCACGAAAGAGAAATAGTTCCATAGACGTTAGTTGCAGATCGGAGGGTGGCGGTAAGAAATATTCTCCTGGTGATTATCTTCGTCAGCAAATAGTCGACGAAATTTGGAAGAATATCGAGGGGAGGACAGAGGACGAAATTGCTCGAGATAGATGTGATAAGGTGAGGGTTTATTTGCGAAATAAGAGTGATTCGTCATTTAATAGGGAGTCGAGAGGAAGGTGGAGGAATGAGGGGAGGAGAAGGGTGGATAGATCTTTGAGTGGTGGTTGTGGGAGTTTGGGAGTTGATAGGGAAGAGAGAGCTTTTGATTGTGGAAGAAGATGTGCTTTCTGTAGTGGAGGAGATGCTTCCAGTTGGAGGGGAACTACTTGTGGTAGTAGAGATGCTTCCTTTAGTAGAGGAAATGCTCCCAATTGTAGAGAAGATGCTCCTAATAATAGAAATGCTACTGATGTTAGAGAAGATGCTGCCAATAATAGAAATGCTACTGATGGTAGAGAAGATGCTGCTAATAGTAGAGAAAATGCTCCTAATTGTATAGAAGATGTTCCCAATAATAGAAAAGCTTCTAATAGTAGAGAAGATGCTGCTAATAGTGGAGGAAATGCTCCCAATTGTAGAGAAGATGCTGTTAATAGTAGAGGATATGCTCCCAATTGTAGTGAAGATGCTTCTAATAATAGAAATGCTACTTATGGTAGAGAAGATGTTCCCAATAATAGAGAAGATGAATTCAGTAGCAGAAGAGCTGCTTCTAGTAGCAGAAGAGATACTTCCAGTAACAGAAGAGAAGCTTCCAACAATAGAAGAGATGTTTCCAGTAGCAGAAGAGATGTATCCAGTAGCACAAGAGATGTTTCCAGTAGCAGAAGAGATTTTTCCAATTCTAGAGATGCTGCACATAGTAGAAGAGATTCTTCCAATTCTAGAGATGCTGCACATAGTAGAAGAGATTCTTCCAATACTAGAGATGCTGCATACAGCAGAAGAAGCACTACCAACAGCAGAGAAACTGTTTTTAATAGTAGAAGAGATTTTTCCAATGCTAAAGGAGATGCTAGCAATAGCAGAAGTAATGCTACCAGTAGCAGTGAAAATGCTTCCAATAGTGGAAGTTATTCTTCTAATAGTAGAAGAGAAGATTATGGAGAAGAAGATGCTTCTAATGGAACAAAAGATGCTCCCAATAGTAGAAGAGTTGCTGCCAGTACTTTAAGAGATGTTTCACATAGTACAAGAGATTCTGCGAATAGAAGAAGATGTGCTTCCAATACTAGAGATTATACTTCCAGTACTAAAAGAGATATTTCCTACAGTAGAAGAGATTCTTCCTACAGTAGAAGAGGTTCTTCCAATAGTAGAGAAAGTGCTCCCAATAGTAGAGAAGATGTTCCAAATATTAGAGAAGATGTTCCAAATATTAATGAAGATGTTCCGAATATTAAAGATGCTCCCAACAGCAGAAGACATTCTAGAAGAGATGCTACCAACAACAGAAGAATTGCTTCCAATAGAAGCAAAAGTGTCACCATCAGCAGCAATACTCCGAACGAAAACGAAAACCCTCCCAACGAATCAACAGAACATCCAAACAACCCAAAATCTTCCTCTCCTACCGAAAGCAACACCCCAAAAAACTCCCAACAAATTTTCAACGATCACAACCTTCCTTCTTCCGAAACAAACAAACCCCAACAAAAATCAGAAACCCCAATTCCCAAGTTCCCCTTCCCCCAAAGGACCGTAAACTCCTACAAAACAGGAAAGCAACTATCAAACAACGAATTGGAAAAAATCCGCTACTTCCTCCAGGATCGTATATCAGCGAAAATGAATGAGGAAAAACTTCTTTTTCGATCCCGCTCACAGCCTATTCCCACAACCAATACATTTCCCAATGACATTGAAACAGAAAAAAGATATTCCAATTCTTCATTGAAGCGAGACTATCAAATCAGAAAAGTGGGTAGCGATGCAAGTGTCGTGCGGTTCTTCGAGAGACAACATCAACCATGCGGAAGTCGACAGAATTTTCAACAAGAATCCACCACAATTCCCAGGAGGAAACTTCTTCGTTCAAGGACACGGAACGATGCACTACTCGAAACAGACGAACTGGAAAATATTTACAGAGATAAAAAACCAGTCCACAGGCAAAAGTTTTACACAAGAAAAACAAAGAGTGACACACCACTCTCTAATTTCCACCAAAATCCCGATAATCTCGAAAGTAGATTCCAGGAATATAGAGACAGAAAGAAACTTGATTCGAAATTAGACAAACTAGATTCATCAGATCTCGAAGAGGAGGACTTTATGAAAAAGCCAAGATGGAAGGATTTACAATTTGAAACTTGTACCCTAACCAATTGTACAATTTGTCAGAATCTTAAAAATTGCATCAATCCCCTAGCATCAAATGCAAATTCAATGAATCAAATTTCAAACAATTCTAATTCTACAAATTCAAATCATTCGTATGAACAATCTAAACAAATCCCTGATGATATAAATGCAAAACCAAAAACGTCTCTGCAGGAAAATTATTTAGTTTTAGAGAGAGCAACATCTCCGCAACATGACTCAATAATTTCAGAAACCACAACCAACTCCCGTGAGGAGGAGGAGGAAATCTCAAGTTCGAGTTGGAATTCACCTGACTTTGGTTACAATACAATTTCAAAACAGTCGAGGGACTGCAAAAAAGTTTTCAACCCCAGTTCAACTGTTAAGAAAAGCGACACGTTCAAAATTGTCGACGGAAGTGAAAATACGGGAATAAAAAAGTCCCTTAAAACCGAATGCTTCGACACTGTCACGAATAATAATAAAAATAATAGTAAAAGTAATAAAAATAATAATAGTAATAATAGTAATAATAAAAATAATAGTGACAACAACAAAAATAATAGTGATAACAAAAATAATAGTAATAATAATAATAATAATAATAATAATAATGATAATAAAAATAATAATGTTGGTGATAATGATGAAAATTATCAAAAAGAGGGTCTAAATAGACAAACAAATCAAGAAATAGCTGAGGACTATTTTTTGCGGGTTTATGAAATTTTAAAGAAACGAAAAGAGGAGGTGAGACAATTGGCCCAACTTTGCGATAGTTCAGAGTTCGAACGAAAGGAAACGGAAACCATGAAAACGAAGAGGAGGCGTAGAAAAAAAATCCTTGACAGTCAACAAGGTGAGATTTTTTAGTTAAAAAAAAAACCTATCTCTGCTTTAGTTTCTTTTTTTTCGCCTAAATTTTACTGAACATTATTCTTAAAGATTATGTGGAATAAAAAATGATTTTCGAAGAACTTTTCCCAAATAGCCTTAATTTTTTAAATGTAATTTGAATTTTGTTTTTCAAATTTAGCGCCAGATTTTTGTTTTTAGCAACAGCAGCGCCTCTGGACTAGACTAAATGGCGCGAAAATTTGAAAATAGAAATTAAAATACAGAAAATTTTACGGGAATTTCTCTCCGAAATATCGAATAATTATATGAGTCGAATACCAAAAAGTCGAATAGCGCAAAACTTTAATGCTTAATTTATCAAATATTTATTTAAAAACAAAAAATCAAAGGATAGAATGTTCCTTAGATCGAAAACCGAAAAATTCGAGTGATTATTATTAAATCAAAAAATTAAAAGGTCGAATGTAATTTTAATTTTCAAAATTCGCGCCGAATTTTTAATTTTATCAACAGCAGCGCCTCTGAGAGAATGGCGCCAAAATTTGAAAAACAAAAATTCAAAAAAGCAATTTTTATAGCGATTTCAGGAATAATTATAGAAAAAATTGTTTAAACATTCCGTTTTAATCGAAAAAGTAAAAAAAATTAAACCATTTTTTTGTGGGAAAAGGACTTTTCCCGCATGGCCTTAAATTTTTTTTAATTTCTTTAAACGTCTCTTTTAAAGTTCTTTTTCAAGATTTATTTTTTTCTATTTTTTTGAAAACTTTTTCTCAACATATTATTTTTCGCCGATTTATTTGAAAAATTTTCTTCAGTTTTTTTTTAAAGATTTTTTCCTCACCGACAATTCTATTTTTCTTCTAAATATAATTCCCGTGACTAATAAAACTTTTTGCTATTTCTCAAACTTTTGCTACTAATAATAGTTGATATAATATTTTCTTCGCGCAAAAATAAGCAACCGTGTTTCGTTTACAAAAGCAAATATGAATCACATCTTTGGGGGGCATAGAATTTGATTATTATTAAATATAGTTAGGGGAGGAGAAAGAGAGAGAAAAAGAGAACTTTTAGTGAAAGTAGGTCGCCGAGAGAGAAAGAGAGAGAGAGAGAGAATTGGAAAAGTTAAAAACTTATAAGCCCGTGAAATTTAATAATTAACAATCTACAAAATGCAAAATGATACACAAAACAATACTCAAAGTCATCAAAAGAGAAGTTATTAGAATAATTAATAGGTAAATGAAAACAAAAATTAAATAATAGAAAAAGTAATTAATGAACAATGCATGAGATAATAATTGAACAGTACAAAAAGTAATAAGTAAATAATACAAAAATTAAAAATACTAAAATCAAAAATATTAAAAATACAAAAATTGAAAAAATTTAAAATACCAAAATTGGAAAATTTAAAATACCAAAATTAAAAAATTTTAAAATACTGAAAACTGAAATAAAAAAAATAGAAAAGTTAAGAATTTCAAAAAAAAACAAATTTCAAAAAATACAAAAATTAAAAAATGCAAATGTTAAAAATACAAAAATTCTAAAATATAAAATTTAAAAATACGAAAGTTAAAAACACAATAATTAAAAAAAAACAAAATTTCAAAATACAAATGTTTAAAATAAAAAAAATTCATAACTACAAAATTTAAAAATACAAAATAAAATAAATAAAAAATACAAAAATTAAAATGCACAAAAGTTAAAATAAAAAACCAAAGAAAAATTCACAAATTAGTAAAAAAAAAAAAAAAGTGGCTAGGTTAGGTTTTGAGACGCAATAAAGCTATAAATATACAATTGAAATTAAAAAAGTTCGTCTAGGCACTAGTTGGGTTAATAAAAACTGAAAGTGGATATTTATAAACGTTGCCAAAGAACTTGCAGGCTTGAAAGACGTTTGTCATTGGCAATGAAGAATTTTGGCTTGCGCTCACTGTTTTCGCAACGCATTTTGATAAAAGTATCCTTAAATAACGACAAAGTTTATTTAATTTATAATGAAATGAGATCAACACTTCACTTATGAAAACAAAGTAATGTGCTTCTAATTTGCACCTAATTTCAATGCCTAATTAACAATTTAGGCAATAAATTTTGAAAATAATAATACAGACTGAGAAATAAAATCTCAATTATAATAAATGCTCATTTTCTTTCATTTTTTAATACAAATTTAATTTAAATTATTATTTATTTCTTTATAATTTTTTTATTTTATTTTTTATTTTATTATATTTTATTTTTATTTCCTACAAATTTAACTTAAATTATTATTTATATTATTCTTTATAATTTTTTTATTTTACTATATTTTTATTTATTGGGTGTTTTATTCATTTTATTTAAATAATAATTATTTTTTTTATTTCATTATATATTTATTTATTAGGTGTTTTATTCATTTTATTTAATTAATTATTATTTGTTATTTATTCTATATTTTTTACTTAATTTTACATTCGCTATTCACGAGAATCGAACTTTCTCTTTTTTTCCCGTCACTTGATTGCTTAGCTTGTTGGTTAGACTCTCTGCTTAGCGACCGTCGAACCCGGGTTCAATTCCCATTCCCCTCGAATTTATTTCAAAAATTTTTCATCAATGCTAAGTTCTAAAATTTATCAAGAAAGATATAAATTCTAAAAATTAAATCAAATCCCCATTTAAAATCTAAAATTTCCCAAATAAAAAAATATCGACTGAGTATATTTTGAATATGTAAATATAAACATTTTTTTACGACAGTTGACGATTGTTTTTCGATTTTTCGACATTTTTTAAAAAATTTCTCGTCTACATTCTACAGTGTATGGATAAAAGGATTTGCTCTCCATTTCTCGGATGAAAGTAAATATTAAATTGGAACAGAGTCAGGAGGACAATAGCACTCGGCGAAATGTCGCGCGGTTGGAAACAGATGCTACGCGCGGGCAGAGAGAGAGAGAGAGAGAGAGAGAAAGATATGAAAAAACTTGATGTACACACATGATAGTTGTAATGCTGCTATAGTGGTTTTTGCGGAGACACACAAAATGAATATTTGTGAGTTCAAATGACAACCGTTTTAGGAAAAAAAAGAAAGAAAATTATTGGTTTTAGTATTGGAACACTTTAACTGAAAAGTATTAAATTACGAAGAATAATTTGTATACAAAATTTGGAAGAAAAATAATTTAATGAAAAAATTAAGGTATCAATTTGACCTAAATGGAGTAAATTTTATTCAATTTGATATCAATTTGACCTAATTGAATGAAATACTAAATGCAAATTTAATTCTATTTTGTATCAATTTGACTTAAATGATGTCAATTTTATTCAATTTGGTAGAAATTTGACCTAAATGGTATAAATTTTATTAAATTTGGAATCAATTTGACCTAGTCAAATATGGTATCAATTTGACATAATTAAATATGGTATCAATTTGACCGAATTTAATATGTAATTAATTTGACCTAATTAAATATGGTATCAATTTGCTTTAATTTAATATGTCACAAATTTGACCTAATTAAATATGGTATCAATTTGATTTAATTTAATTTGTAATCAATTTGATCTAATTAAATATAGTATCAATTTGACCTACTCTAATGTGGTATCAATTTGACCTAATTAAATATGGTACCAATTTGACCTAATTTAATATGTAATTAATTTGACCTAATTAAATGTGGTATTAATTTGACCTAATTAAATATGGTATCAATTTGATTTAATTTAATGTGGTATCAATTTGACCTAATTTTCTATCATCTGGCCTAATTTAATATCAAGGTGGCCGAATCTGGTATCAATTTGACCTAAATTATACAAAATTTATTTAATTTGGTCTCAATTTAACCTTAGTTTTTATTAATTTTTCCTAAACGGTATCAACAGGACCTAATTTTTTATCATATGTACTAATTTAACATTAATTTGACCTAAATTGTGTAAATTTTATTTAATTTACTAATAATAATTTGCCCTATATGGTATAAAGTTGATTAAATTTGGTGTCAATTTGACCTAAATTGTATCAATTTGAGCTAATTTTCTTCTAACTAGCATAATTTAATATTGCTTTGACCTAAATGGAGTAAATTAAATTCAATTTTGTAAAAATTTGACCTAAAAAATGTCAACTTTATCCAATTTGGTGTCAATTTGACCTAACTTGGTATTATTGTGAACCAAATATTAGCAATTTTGACCCAATCTATAGTATTAATTTAATTTACCTAATTTAATGTTCTTTCTAAATCTATAAAATTAGGTCAAATTAATATTAAATAAGGACAAATTCTTAATAAATTAGGTCAAAATTGTTACCATTTAGGTCAAATTAGTACAATTTTTCTAAAAATTACAAACATTTTACTTGAATCAAAAAGAAAAAAATCTTACATGAAAATTATTAATAAAATTAGTAAAAATTTTTTTTTTGTCCGTACAATTCTAATTTATAAAATTATGTATTCTACTATTTTTTATTATTTTATTCTACCTGCAAATAGTAAAATTTACTATTTATTTTACTAATTTAGTAAAATACTAATCAAAAAGGGGGAAAATCTTCCATGAAAATTACTAATTTTAATAATTAGTAAAATTTTACTATTCGATCGTAAAATTCTACTTATTCATTTATCCTACTAACGAATAGTACAATTTTACTAATTATTAGTCATTTTCATGGAAGATAATTGCTTTGAATAATTTTACCTAAATAGTAACAATTTGTCCTAATTCAATAGCAATTTGACAGAATTTACAGTTAATTTGATATAGTTTGGAGTAAATTTAAGATCATTTTGTCTTAATTAAGTGCTAATTTGACCTAATTTGACCTTAATGGTAACAATTTGTAATACTTTGGTATTCATTTGATCTAAATGGTATAACAATTTGTCCTAATTTAGTTTTAATTTGATATAATTTGGTATAAAATTGACCTAATTTAATATCAATTGAACCTAATTAATTTGACTTAATTTGACC